AGGCTCTTGCTGGGCAGGCCAGTAGCACGAGTTAGGACTATCCCTTTGTTTTCTATTGCCTTTAAGGTTTGTATAAACCTGGGATAAATGAAATCAGAATCTGCTTATAAAACCATCAAGGGCCTGGTGTTTTCTTTGTGGGAATACTTAGCCCACTGCTTCTGTTTGTGTAGCAATAATAGCATTTTACTTAAGCCCTTAACTTCTTCTGGAGTCAGTTGTGATAAATTATTTTTCAAGAGATTTGTTCATTTCATAGACAAACTCTGATAAAGCTTGTTGGTATATAGTTGTTGATGCTATTCTCTCTTTAACTTCTACTTTATTTAGGAAGATTTCCTCCTTTTCACTCATACTGTTTGTGTTTTGTTCTTCTTTCCTTAATCATTCTTTCCAGAAGTTTGCCTGGTTTTTTTTTTTGTTTTTTGTTTTTTTTACTTTTTTTATCCCCGCAGCCCCAGAAAAACCTAGTTTTGGCTTTGCTGATGTTTCCTATTACATATTTAATACCTAAATCATTAACCTCTGCTATTATTTTTATCTTTTATCTCTTACTTTCTGTAGGTTTATTGTGTATTGTCTAATTTCTTAAGATGAACATTTAACTTCTTAATTTTGAGTGGTTTTTATTATAGCTATTTAAGGTTATAGCTTTCTGTCAAAGCACCATATTTTGCTACATCCCAAATGTAGTATGTTAACATTTAATTCTAAGTATTTTTAGATTTGATTATGATTTCTTCTATTTTTTAATGTTTTATTTATTTCTGAGAGAGAGAGACAGCATGATCAGGGGAGGGTCAGAGAGAGAGGGAGATACAGAATCTGAAACAGGCTCCAGGCTCTGAGCTGGCTGTCAGCACAGAGAGAGACAGCATGAGCAGGGAAGGGTCAGAGAGAGAGGGAGACACAGAATGTGAAGCAGGCTCCAGGCTCTGAGCTAGCTGTCAGCACAGAGCCCAACGCGGGGCTCAAACCCACAAACCTTGAGATCATGACCTGAGCCGAAGTCAGACGCTCAACCAACTGAGCCACCCAGGTGCCCCTGTTATTAACTTTTTAAAAGTTTATTTATTTATTTTGAGAGAGAGAGAGAGAGAGCAGGGGAGAGACAGGGGGGAGAGAGAGAATCCCAAGCAGGCTCCTCCCTGTAAGTGCTGAGCCCAGTGTGGGGCTTGAACCCAGGACTGTGAGATCATGACCTGAATTGAAGTCAAGAGTCAGATTCTCAACCAACTAAGCCACTCAGGCGCTCCTTGTTATTAACTTTTAACTTAATTCCATGTTGGTCCCATGTCATAGTCTGTAAGTTATCAATTATTTAAAATTAGGCTTTTTGATATAGTACATGATTTATTTAAAAAGCTCTCATATGTCCATAAGAAAACTGTGAGTGTACTATACTTACTGGATGTAGAACTCGGGCTTCTTCTCATGGTATGGTTCAGATCTTATATATTATTGTTGATTTAATTTTTTTGGTCTGCTTGACCAATCAGTAGTTGAGAGAAGCAGCATTATTGAGGAGGGCACTTGTTGGGATGAGCACTGGGTGTTGTGTGTAAGCAATGAATCATGGGAATCAACTCCCGGAGCCAAGAGCACACTGTATACACTGTATGTTAGCTAACTTGACAATAAGTTATACTTTAAAAAATAATAATAAATAAAGCCAGGAAACTGAAGGAAAAAAAAGAAGACCCTCCTTAGAAATTAATCTGCCAGTTATGAGGGTTTAGAGAAGTCCTGGACAACTGTCATAGTTAGTCCCTACCTACTTTTTTAATTATTTATTTTGAGAGAGAGAGAGCGAGCAAGCGCACGCGCATGTATGCAAGAGCCAGGGAGGGGCAGAGAGAGAGAGAGGGAGAGGGAGGATCCCAAGCAGGCTCCACACTGTCAGCGCAGAGCCTGACGCGGGGTTCAAACCCATAAACTGTGAGATCACGACCTGAGCCAAAATCAAGAGACAGCTTAACTGACTGAGCCACCCAGGCGCCCTCTCCCCCACGTATTTTTTCCCAGCTCTTCAGCAACACAGGGTTTCTGCCCTGCCCTGGATTTACTCCAGGGAAGTCTGAACCAGAGATCTGAGCCCCAGCAAGCGTGGCAGAAACACTGTTGTCTCAAGATTTAGGACGGGTTTGGGGCGCCTGGGTGGCTCAGCTATTTGAGCATCCGACTTCAGCTCAGGTCATGATCTCACAGTTCGTGAGTTCGAGCCCCGCATTGGGCTCTGTGCTGACAGCTCGGAGCCTGGAGCCTGCTTCGGAGTCTGTGGCTCCCTCTCTCTCTGCCCCTCCCCTGCTCACGGTCTGTCTCCCTGTCTCTCAAAAATAAACATTAAAAAAAATTTTTTTAGGTTAAGAAAAAAAAAAAAATATTTCGGAGGGGGAGAAGCAAGAGCAGAAACCCCGGAGGCTCCTTTGCTGCTTCACCCTCCCACACTGCACCACAGGGATTTCTCATAGTTTCCCCTCTTCTTGGTGTTTTCCTTACTCGGTCCCTTTAGGGTTGATCTTGGGCAATAGGGAGCCAGCTGCTATGCTGATTGAGTTTCTTGCTAGAGACCAAACTGGGATATGGCACCTTTACATACGTGCATCACCTGTAAAATCCTCGAAACAGAATTACTCGAACACTTCTTTCTGCATTAAACCTGTGCCGCCTCCTGCTGCCAACATCCAGGCACATAAACCAGAGCAGTGTTCTTTCAAACCTTTAGGCGGGATAATAAGAAATATTCGGGGCTTACCACAAAATTAGGGTAAATATTATTCGTGAAGCTTTCATTTCTTCGGTATGTGTACATGCACAAATACTCGCAAGTATGTGTGCTGGGCTGTGCTGAAGAATCTACGAACGTGGATTATAGTCAGAAAAGTCGAAACCCACTGACTAGAGAACTAGGAATCATTTTGGACCCGTCCTTCTGCCTCACCTCCTACAGCCATTGAATTACCAAATCCGCCGATTCTGCTTCCTCAACAGTTCTCAAATTTATCCCATCTCCCTCTTCCCTCCTAACCACTGCTCTACTTCAAGCCCTTTCTGGATGATGGCAATAATCTTCAGATCCATGCGCCACCCCCTTACTCTGATCGGAGTCCTCTTCCGGAAATGTACATTACATTTGACTTACGTGACTCCTCCCGCGGCACCCTGTTGCCCACGGATAACCTCCGAGCTCTATAACACGGCCCCTGCCTACCTCTCTAGCTTCATCTGCTCGCGTTCCAGTATCACCGATAAACGCCAGACCGCTTTTGGTTTTCCTCACGGTCTCTAACGGGTTTTATTGTGTTCATTCTTTCACTTTCGCCTGGTGCGGGAAGCGAGGTGCCTTCACTCCCACCCCTTTTGCGTGGTGAACTCCAGCTCGCGCACTCTCACTTTGTATGTGAGGTCTTACACCCCTGCCTCCCCCACCCCTGGAGCCCCTCCTCTATGTTTCCAGAATATTCTAGGCATCGTGCATTGCACAGCCAAGTTGTTTTTAAATCATCTGTTTAAGTTAGTGTTTACTTTTTATGGGAAGTTAACTAACATCATACTCATGTCAGTGCCTAAAAGAATATCTAGCTCCTATTGGGTGTTCGGACGTTGGCTGAATGACTGAAGATCTGGAAAGTTCAAGCACCTTTTCCAAGATCATATTGCTTATAGGTGACAAAATTAAGACTGGGAAACAAAGGGCCTCTTTTATTGTCTCGTGCTACCGACCAGGACTCCTAGTACATAATGTAAAACTGAAGAAGCACATTTATTGTGCAATACCAAATAGGTCACTTGAAGCCCGTTTGGTAACAATTGAGATGATTAAATTATCCTTTGTGACTAATCCAAATTTTACCTACTGTCAGGGGATCTATTTCTGGTTACGTGAATAGTTTGACGTGAAATCTAATATTTGCAAAGAGGTGAAACAGTGCAAGTAGACTCAAAAGTAACTTGGAAAAAATCAAAGTGGCCTTTTTGTAACTCTATTTTGAGCAGTCGGTTAGCATTTTTTAAATACATTATGACGGATTCCAGGCATTCTGTTCATTTAAAACGTGACGTGAGCTTTAGTTTAGAATATGTAAAGATGGGAACGGTGGCATTTGAAGAATTACACCGTAGGAACAGGTCAAGGTACGTTTGAATCACATTTGCAGACACAGATTATGACATAGAATGATTCTTGTGCCTTCGGTTCTTCCAGCTTCTGTAGCAGATTGCAGAAATCAGTCAGGGCTTAGAAACTGAGACTCATCCATCAGTTTATTGAAGGATAGAGAAATAGATTTCAATCTGGTGTATTTCCAATTTCCGAAGTTTTTAAAGAAGCAGAAGTTGTTTCAGACTCCCACTTGAGGAATTTAAGAAGCAAAACAAATGAACACAGAAAAAAAAAAAGAGAGAGACCTACAAAAAACCAGACTCTTAAATATAAGGAACAGAGCTGGAAGCTGCCAGAGGGGAGGTGGGTGGGGGGAAGGGTGAAGCAGATAAAGGAGACTAAGAGTACACTTATCTTGATGTGATGTATAGAATTGTTGAATCATATTGTACACCTGAAACCAATACGACACTGTGTGTTAATTATACTTGAGTTAAAGAAATAAAACCAAACAAGTGAAGCATCAGAAAAAGGGTCAGAGCTGAACTATTCCTTAGGAACATCCAAAGTGCTGTGTGTATGAGAATTTCGCCAATCGTTTCCAAAAAGTATCGTTACAGTTGGTATGTTGAAACAGGATCCAGTGTCCACACACATTGTTTGGCTGACATGTCCTTGAATCTTTCTTTATCACGGTCTCCTCTCCCTTCCTCCCCCCCATTCCTTTTATCGGAAAAAATAATTTGTGTTCTTCATTTTCTTACTGCGTTGCAAAGTCAGGGAGAGCAGGAGCTTAAGATATTAGCACTAACAATTGTGCCTGGCACCCAGCAGACACTTGACTGTTATTTGCCCGATGCTGTTGCTAATACTTAAGGCCTGTGTCTTGTCCCGGCAGGTTGATCCAAAAGACTACATGTTCAGCGGACTGAAGGACGAAACCGTAGGGCGCTTACCCGGCCAAGTGGCGGGACAGCAGTTCCTCATTCAGGACTGTGAGAACTGTAACATCTATATTTTTGATCACTCCGCCACCATCACTATCGACGACTGTACTAACTGCGTGATTTTCTTGGGACCTGTGAAAGGCAGCGTGTTCTTCCGGAATTGCAGAGACTGCAGATGCACACTAGCATGCCAGCAGTTCCGTGTGAGGGACTGCCGGAAGCTGGAGGTCTTTCTGTGCTGCGCCACTCAGCCCATCATTGAGTCTTCCACGAACATCAGGTTCGGCTGCTTCCAGTGGTACTACCCCGAGTTAGCCTTGCAGTTCAAAGATGCGGGGCTGAGCATCTTCAACAACACCTGGAGCAGCGTTCACGACTTCACACCTGTGGCAGGAGAGCTCAACTGGAGCCTTCTTCCCGAAGATGCCGTAGTTCAAGACCATGTCCCTCTACCTACCGCTGAAGAGCTCAGAGCCGTCCGCATTTCCACAGAAGCCAACAGAAGTATCGTTCCGGTATCTCGGGGTCAGAGGCCGAAGAGCAGTGATGAATCCTGCTTAGTGGTGTTATTTGCTGGTGATTATACAATCGCAAATGCCAGAAAACTGATTGATGAGGTAAGGAGAGACAGAAGAGAAACAGACACACACGCAGAAACACATCACTTTCCGGAGAACTTCTTTCCAGATTGGCTAGTAGAAATGCAGGCAGTCCTTGGGGCACCCGAGTGGCCCGCCAGGTAAGTTGGGTGTCCCACTTCGGCTCAGGTCACGATCTCGCGGTTCGTGAGTTCGAGCCCCACGTTGGGCTCACCGCTGTCAGTGCAGAGCCCGCTTCGGACCCTCTGTCTCCCTCTCTGTGCCCCGCCCCCACTTGCTGTCTCTCAAAAATCGATAAAACATTTAAAAAAAAGAGAAATACAGGCAGTTCTTAATTTATAGAACTCTGTCCCCCCCCAAAGATTTATCTGGGCCTCAAAATAACTTTCCCAAAGAAACTTTTAAAAGCATAATTCAATTCAGTAAGCATTTATTAAGCACTTATTATGTGAAGAGTTACTCTGCTACCATAGTCCATTGATTATAGGATGCACATCCGTTTTCCACGGTTTTGCTTGTCTGGAATGCATCTTGCAGCCAACGGCAACTCTAAGCTGACAAAACCCGGTACTTGCCAGAGACGGAGATGCATGGGGGAAATTCTCTGCCCGCGGAGAGCTTCCGTCCTTCATACTCCGTGGCTGCCGTGGGGCTTACAGAGGCGGTGCTGCGGCCTAAAGCAGGGCCTCGTGCATCAGGAATTTGGGGAGGGTGGGAAAGACATTTCGGAGTACAGCTTTTGGCTCTTGCCGTGACTGTGACGTCACGTCACTTGCCTTTTCCTTGTCGCTGTGTGAAGGGGCAGCTGGTGTGGGCTCAGGAGCAGGAACTTGGTGAATCCGGGGCTAGAGAAGAGTTCTGAGGGCAGCGGCTCCCGCTTGCAGGGTACCTGGGGACGGCGAGACTAGGGGCCCCCGGAGGCAGCAGTGTCTGTGCTGGCCGGTGCGCCAGTGGGCAGGCCACAGACAGCTGTATTAATTATCCTTTAATCAGATGTCTGTCAGAGGGAGTCTTCGCATTTAAAAATCAAACTTCCAGAAATGAAGCAGCGAGTAGAAAACTTACCAAGCCTCTTTTCGAATGCATTTCTTAAAATACTTATTTCTGAAAGAATGCAAGTTGGGGAGGAGCACAGAGAGGGAGACAGGGAGTCCAAAGCGGGGTCTGCACTGTCAGGCTGACAGCAGTGAGCCTGATGCGGGGCTTGAACCCACGAACTGTGAGAACATGATCTGAGCCGAAGTCAGACGCTCAGCCACTTGAACCATCCAGGCACCCCATGGATTTTTTTAGATATTGTAACAGTTCTGTCGAAAGGAAGATTATAGGGGGGAAAACCCACTAACGATGACCTCTTCTCTGTAGCTACGCATCCTATAGTGTAGAAAACCCATGTCTGAAGTCTAGTTTTCAAAACAACAGGAGCCAAAGTACACATTTAAGACTGTGGTATTTTCTTTTTTGTTCATGCCAATCTGATAAAAAACATGCTGCAAATCTGGTAAGATGTAGAAAAGTACATCTGGCCTTCGAGCTATCTAATCACGTATGTTAATCCAACATCTGAGAAGTCAGTATTTGCTTTTTTTAAAAAAAAATCTACATACAGTTTTCAGAAGATGTCATTCTTCAGGTTAAACTCCTTTTTGGTGGGTAAGAAGGAGTGGACGTAAAGAATATATAGCACTTTTATTTAAACAAAGCCAATCGGGGGCACCTGGGTGGCTCAGTCCGTTAAGCTTCCAACTTCGGTTTAGGCCATGATCTCACAGTTTGTGAGTTCAAGCCCCATGTCGGGCTCTGTGCTGACAGCTAGCTCAGAGCCTGGAGCCTGCTTCAGATTCTGTATCTCCCTCTCTCTCTGACCCTCCCCTGCTCACGCTCTCTCTCTCCCAGAAATAAATAAAAAACATTAAAAAAAATTTAAAAACCCATCACAACACTCTTTCTTCATGAGTCATCAGATGTTCTTCACCTTTTTACTTTTGGTATCTGATGTGCAAAATGAGTGTTGTGTGCACTTGAAAACAACGCGACCAGGAAGAATGATGTTCTTCAGATGCCCTTCTGGAATACAAGAGAGTTTAAAACAAAACAAAAAAAAAAATGCAACAACAGCAATAATAATAGCTAAGTCTTAGGTCGTGTTTACCATATGCCAGGCTTTGTTATAAGGGCTAAAATGAAATAACTCATTAAATTTAGAATAACCTATGAAATAGGTGCCGTTCATTCCCCTTTTACAGATAAGGAAAATGAGCCACAGAGAGGGTAAGTAACTGGCAAAAGGTCACTCATCTGGTAAACGGCAGAGCCATGATTTAAATTCTGGCAGCCTCGCCTGGTGGACCACAGTCTCAGCCCTCAAGCCTGATGCTACTCTGCTGGCTCAGTGGTCAAGGAAGGTTGATGAGCGCCTGGTGGAGCAGGAATGGGGGGAAAGAGCCAGGGGGTCAAGGCAGATACCAGCTTTCGGCTCAGAAGGAAAATCCCAGGGACTTCTGGATTAGACTTATCCTCTATAATTCTGAAAGCACAGAATTAAGGAACGAAAAGAACAAAGCAAAGAAAACACGAAGTGCATGTGAAGTCGGTATCAAAACACGCAAAAAGATCACCAATTTACATGTTAGGAGATTGTGTATTTAATTAATTAATTTTAATGTTTACTTATTTTTGAAGGAGAGAGAGAGAGACAGTGCGTGAGCAGGGGAGGGGCAGAGAGAGAGGGAGACACAGACTCCAAAGCAGGCTCCAGGCTCTGAGCTGTCAGCACAGAGCCCGACGTGGGGCTCGAACCCCCAAGCAGCGAGATCATGACCCGAGCTGAAGTCGGACACTTAACCGACTGAGCTGCCCAGGCGTCCCGAGAGATTAAAAAAAAAAAGAAGCAGCAGCTCGAGTTCCCAGGAAAATATGTGTAGGAGGTACTTAATTCTGAGATGGAGAAAAACAAACAAAGCAACTTGAGTCTTCCTCGTACCATAACCCAGAGGCCTAAAGACAGCCTCAACTGGACCCATGATTGCTAGCTCTGGTTTTGTTCAACCCTAGGACTATCACAGGATTCTATTTCACATTGTTTTTTATAAATTAAATGTATCCTAAGAGTTTTTTAATCTAGGAAGTCCAGAAAAGCTGGATAAAGTAGAAAGCACATTCCCGAGGAAATCAAGAGAAGTTACCGGGTCTTAATTTTCTCACCTAAAAAGTCAGATTTCTTGCTTCCTCTTAGCTACATCACAGATACGCACAGGATAAACTAGAGTAAAAGTGGTGTGAATTGTTCGGAAGTAACGCATTCCTTAATTTTAAGTTGGGTAGTTCACCAGTTTTCCAGCCTTGAAAAGTGGAAGAGTTTCCACGAGAAAGGAATCTCCAGATATCTGCAGTGAGATACCAAAATAGATCAAGTTTCAAACTCCATTATTTGTTTTAGGTCACAGTATTTTGAGTTAATCATCTTGTGTCGGTTTATGTGTCTGACTACAAAATGAGAGGTAGTGAGCTGTCTGGAAAATTAGAAACAGATGTAGGATTATTCCTGTTATTTTAAGTAACTTTGCAGTCATCACCTGGCAGTGATGTCCAGGCACTTTTCTGCTCCTTTTTTATGTATGTTTCTTTTTTCTGAGGCAGCATTAAGGGCTCTGAAATAGGATTGGAGTTTGAACCCAATTTGATGGAATAGTACGGAATAATGTAGCCATGGGATGAAATAGTATCAGCCATTAAAACTGATTTTATAGTGGAATCACTGGGAAGTATTAGTCAAGTAAGCGAAGATTTGTAGAATGTCCTATAAGTATCTGCATTTCTTTTTTTTTTAGAGATCTAAGTCTGGAAAGTTATATCTACTAAAATGTTAACCATGGTGGTTATTCTTAGGAAGTAGATTAAGAGCAGGACTTTCTTCTTTTTTTTTTTTTTTTACAGTTATGTGGGTTTTGCAATGAACAGGTGTTATTTCTGTAATGGGGGGAAAACGAAAACGGGGGAGATAAAAGAAAGTGTACCTTCCTGTATGGCAAGTATCTTTGAGTGATAGCACCTTGGTTCATATCTGTTTCTGTTTATTTTTCAAGTGTTCTGTATTGAGCATACATGCTATGTTTGTTTTTTAATTTTTTAATGTTTTTAATTTATTTTTGAGAGAGACACACACAGAGTGCGAGTGGGGACGGAGCAGAGAGAGAGGGAGACACAGAATCCGAAGCAGGCTCCAGGCCCCGAGCCGTCAGCACAGATCCCAACGCGGGGCTCGAACTCACAAACTGCACGCTCATGACCTGGGCCGAAGTTGGTCACTTAACCAACTGAGCCACCCAGGTGCCCCCTACATGCTGCTTTTATACTTAAAATTCCAATAGGCTTTGCTAAAAAAAATTAAGTGGTTGAATTCTGTGCATTTTTAAAAACTACTTTCATAGTTATTTTAAAAATTAATGTGTACTCATTGCACAGTCTTGTAGAAATAAAGAAGAGTAGAAAGAAGCTTAAAAATCATCCATACTATAACTTGCATAGTCTTTTTAGGAATAATCTTTATTTTGTCTATAATCAGATTAACTGGGTTCGAATCACAGTTCTGTTACTTTATAGTTGTGTGACCTTGGATAGATTTCTTTGCCACTCCATGCCTTAGTTTCCTCACCCGTAGAATGAGGTTCCTAATAGCACCTACCGCATGAGAGGATTAAATGTGTTATACATATAAAGTGCATAAAATCGCCTGGCATGCAGTAAGTGCTCCATAAATGTAGTCAATCGTTATTGTGCTATACTATATACGTTTGTATCATGCTTTTCAAAATCGTTAGATAAGCTCTTCCCCATTTTATTGTACGTTATATTTAATGAACTATGCTATTTCATCCTGTGACGAGTGCATCCTAGTTTACCTACTTAACCATGCTCATTGGACATTTGTGCGTATCACCAAACTAATTACACACTACACACTAATTCTTTTTTTTTTTTTTTTATTTCTAGGAGAGAGAGAGAGACAGCGTTAGCAGGGGAGGGTCAGAGAGAGAGGGAGACACAGACTCTGAAACAGGCTCCAGGCTCTGAGCTGGCAGTCAGCACAGAGCCCGACGCGGGGCCTGAACCCACGAACTGCGAGATCATGACCTAAGCGAAAGTCGGATGCTCAACCGACTAAGCCACCTAGGCGCCCCACTACACACTAATTCTTAACCAGAAGCACCCATCTGGAAAAATCCTGCGTATATGAAAACTTGTTAGAGCAAATGCCCTGAATCAGAGTGATGATTCAAACAGACATCAGCATGCTGTGTCACATTTTATATTGTAAAATGCTAGAATCAGAAAATATTGTCTTAATCTCAGAAGTTCATTTTAAAATCTAAATGAAATTTTATCTTCCACAGATGGTTGGTAAAGGATTCTTCCTAGTTCAAACAAAGGAAGTGTCAATGAAAGCTGAAGATGCTCAGAGAGTTTTTGGGGACAAAGCACCGGACTTCCTTCCTCTGCTGAGTAAAGGTACCTTCTGGATGATTGGTGTACATGTGTGGTCATCTTCTTGACACGTGATTAGAACTATTCTTGCCTTTAGCACTTCTCTTACATTGCCTTCTCTTTCTTGTTTATGTTTTTTTTTCCTATTACTATTCAAAAATGTCAAAATTTTGGGGCACCTAGGTGGCTCAGTCAGTTAAGCATCCGACTTCGGCTCAGGTCATGATTTTGAGGTTCATGAGCTCAAGCCCTGCATCAGGCTCTGTGCTGACAGCTCCGAGCCTGGAGCCTGCTTCAAATTCTGTGTCTCCTTCTCTCTCTCTGCCCTTCCCCCACTAACACACTCTGTCTCTGTCTCTGTCTCTCTCTCACAGATAAACAAACATTTTTAAAAATGTCAAAATCTCAGATCATTCAAAAATCCCTGTATAACTAACTAGAAATTAGGCATTAGGTTTTTCCCCCATTCTGTCATGTTAGTACTTGAATGTCACACTTCATTATTATAGTTTCTTTTTCTTTTTTCAAAATTTTTAATGTTTATTTATTTTTGAGAGAGAGAGAGAGAGAGACAGAGCATGAGCAGGGGAGGGGCAGAGACAGAGAGAACAAGACACAGAATCCGAAGCAGGCTCCAGGCTCCTAGATTTCAGTATAGAGCCTGACACAGGGCTCTAACTCGGGAACAGCCAGTTCATGACCTAGGCTAAAGGCGGACTCGTAACCAACTTAGCCACCCAGAGGCCCCTATTTTGTTATTTCTGATTAGTATTTTATTGTGTTATCGTGCTACAGTGAGTGACTGTTTTGTTTTCCCTGTCCAGAGCTACAAAGCACTTTATAAGAATTCTTTCTGCCTTCAGTGTGCTTTGACCCTACTGAAGGAAATAAGAAACATATAAATAAAACGGTATACCATTTTATGTATTTAATATGGTGGATTAACTTTCCATGCATGATTAGAATTGTTTTCCCCAGTGGACAAATGCCCCCCAATAAATTTCAGATACTGGAAACATGTCTGCCAACGGAGGACCTGAATTCGTGTGCCCTCCTGAAGGGTTATTACCTGACTGTGTCTATTTGAAGGTATACCGATTCTAAAGGACAGAGTTCTCTTTAACTGTCAGAGCAGGGAACATTGTTTGCTTGAGGTTCATCAGGCTTTTTCTTGACTGGCCGGAGCAAATACATGTAGGAATATGCAGTGCTGATGGAATATACCCCAAAAAGAGAGCATGTCTGCATTTACATGCTTTTTATATATACATCGTAATAACCGTGAAACCTATATGAAAGTGTTGGAGGATTGTTGGGAGAATGTTAATAACTAAGCTGGGTATGACTCAGCCATTCATACAGTACTTCATATACCTTTTTTTTATTTATTTTTTTTAATTTTTTATTTATTTCTAGGAGAGAGAGGGAGACAGCGTGAGCAGGGGAGGGTCAGAGAGAGAGGGAGACACAGACTCCGAAACAGGCTCCAGGCTCTGAGCTGGCAGTCAGCACAGAGCCCGATGCGGGGCTTGAACCCACGAACCGCGAGATCATGACCTAAGCGAAAGTCGGACGCTTAACCGACTAAGCCACCCAGGCGCCCCATACTTCATATACCTTTGTGGGTATTGTAGCAGTATGAAGGACTTGCTCCGACCCAGTGCTGGAATCTGCTTTAGAATCTATATCAGAAATTACAGCCTGGCTCTTTTTTTTTTTTTTGAGTATAATTAACATACAGTGTTATATTAGTTTCAAGTGTACAACATAATAATTCAGCAATTCAGCAATTCTGTATATTTCTCAGTGCTTATCAAGATAAGTGTACTCTTAATCTCCTTTATTTCACTCCTCTTCCCACCCACCTCCCTTCTGGCTGCCACCAGTTTTCTGTATTTAACAGTCCATCTTTTTTTTTTGGGGGGGGGGTCTTTTTTTTTCTCTTTGCTTGTTTTGTTCTTAAATGCCACATAGGAGTAAAATCATATGGTAGTTGTCTTTCTCTGGCTGACGTATTCCACTTAGTATCATACCCTTTAGGTCCATCCATGTCACAAATGGTAAGATTTCATTCTTTCTGATGGCTGAGAGATATTCTTTTGGGTATACATACCACATCTTTATCCATTCATCTGTGGATGGACACGGCTTGCTTTCATATCTTAGCTATTGTAAATAATGCTACAATATGCATAGGGGTGCATACATCTTTTCAAATCAGTATTTTCACTATGGTATTCTTTTTTACTTATTTCGCTTAGCATTATACTCTTTGGCTCCATCCATGTCATTGCAAATGGCAAGATTTCATTCTTCTTATGGTTGAATAATATTCCATTTTATATGTGTATATATACGTGTATGTATACGTATACAGACACACACACACACGCCACATCTTCTTTATTCATGCCTCTATTGATGGACACTTGGGCTGCTTCCATAATTTGGCTATTATAAATAATGCTGCTATAAACATAGAAGTATGTGTATCCCTTTGAATTACAGGGTTTTGTATTTTTCAGGTGAATACCTGGTATTGCAATTACTGGATCATAGGGTAGGTTCTATTTTTAACTTTTTGAGGAACCTCCATATGGTTTTCCACAGTGGCTGCTCCAGTTGGCTTTCCCACTACCAGTGCACGAGGGTTCGTTTTCCTCACATCCTCACCAACATTTGTTCTTTCTTGTGTTTTCGAGTTTAGTCATTCTGACAGATATAAGGTGATATCTTGTTGTGGTTTTAATTTGCATTTTCCTGATGATTAGTGATACTGAGCATCTTTTCATGTGGCTGTTGGCCATCTGTATATCTTCTTTGGAAAAATGTCCTTTCAGGTCCTCTGCCCGTTTTTAATTGGATTATTTCGCTTTTTGGTGTTGAGTTGCCTGGGAGCTTTATATATTTTGGATATTAGCCCCTTATCAGATATGCATCTGCAAATATCTTCTCCCATTCAGTAGGCTGCCTTTTTATTTTGTTGCTTTTGTTTTTCTTGCCCGAAGAAACACACCTAGAAAGATGTTTCTATGGCCGATGTCAAAGAAGTGACTGCCTATGTCTTCTACTAGTTTTATGGTTTCAGGTCTCACATTTAGGTCTTTAGTCCATTTTGAGTTTATTTTTCTGTATGGTGTAAGAAAGTGGTCCAGTTTCATTCTTTTGCACATAGCTGACCAATTTTCCCAACACTATTTGTTGAAGAGACCGTCTTTTCTCCATTGTATATACTTGCTTCCTTTGTCATAGATTGACTATATAAGCATGGGTTTATTTCTGGACTCTATTCTGTTCCATTGATCTACGTGTCTATTTTTGTGCCAGTACCATACTGTTTTGATTATCTATAGCTCTGTAGTATATCTTGAAATCTGAGATTGAGATACCCCAGTTTTATTCACCTTTTTCTTTCTTTTTTTTTTTAAGTTTTATTTATTTAAGTGATTTATACACCTCATGTGGGGCTTGAACTAAAACGACCCGAGATCAGGACTCCCATGCTTCTCTGACTGAGCCAGCCAGGTGCCCCTCTTCTTCTTTTACAGGATTGCTTTGGCCATTTGAGGTCTTTTGTGGTTTCATACAAATTTTAAGATTAATCTAGTTCTGTGGAAAATGTTGTTAGTATTTTGATAGGGATTGCATTAAATCTGTAGATTTCATTGAGTACTATGGACATTCTAACAATATGATATTGGTTCTTCCAATTCAGGAGCATGGCATATTTTTCCATTCCTTTGTTTCAACTTCAATTTCTTTACACAGTGTTTTATAGCTTTCAGAGTACCGATGTTCTCGCTCCTTTGGTGTAACTGTTTTGACATGGGAACATTCTGATGGAATCTTGAAAATAAGCCTTTAAACTCTCAGCGGGTTTCAGAAATTGAATCAACAGGGGCACCTGGGTGGCTTAGTCAGCTGAGCATCTGACTTTGGCTTCGGTCATGATCTCATGGTTCAGGAGTTTGAGCCCCACATCGGGCTTGCTGCTGTCAGTGCAGAGCCTGCTTCGGATAATCTGTCTCCTCTCTCTGCCCCTCCCCTGCTCATGCTCACTCACTCCCTGTCAAAAAAATAAATAAACATTTAAAAAAGAAAATGAATCAACAATAATTGTAATGGACATCCTAAAATGTGAGATTAGGGATGAAGTGAGTATATGGGCAGGTCTACGTTAATGATTTATGTGCTCATGCAGTGTTCGTGGAGTGATTTCATAGAAACGCTCCAACCCTGAATATATTATTTGTGCATAAGTAACACAGCATTCCACATGGAAGGAATAAAAGTAGAACTAAGCAAAAGAACGAAGACCAATGGGCAGGTGTTACAGGAATTGCAGCAAATGAACATCACACAAATAGCTTTTTAAAACCAGAGGTACCCGTAGGAAGTACTCACAGACTAACGAGGTCATGCCGGGTCCCAGGAGCCAACTCACATCCCCTTCCACTGGCCAAACTGGGTATACTTTGGGCATCACAAAGACTAATGAACGGAATTGATTTAACAACAGAAATCCATGCATCCATAGTGATAATAAAAAAGGGAGGAGGAGAGAATAAAAGGAAACTTCTTCTGCCCTTTACAGAATACTGTGAGCTTGGGGCGCCCGGGTGGCTTAGTCAGTTGAGCGTCCGACTTTCGCTTAGGTCATGATCTCGCGGTTCGTGGGTTCGAGCCCCGCGTCGGGCTCTGTGCTGACTGCCAGCTCAGAGCCTGGAGCCTGTTTCAGTCTGTGACTCCCTCTCTCTCTGACCCTCCCCTGCTCACGCTGTCTCTCTCTCTCTCTGTCTCCTAGAAATAAATAAAACGTTAAAAAAAAAAACAGAATACTGTGAGCTAATAAATGTAGAAGGAATGATAGACTTTAGAAATCACCATCCTCCAACCCCCAAGGTAGTAATTAATTCAGACAAAGGTGATCAGTGGATGCTAAAACTGTTGGGGTAAAAGTTGCTAAGAAATAGGATATTTCTGCATTCTCATTCAAAGGGGAGATGTACCATTACAGCCGAGAT